CAGCTACATCAGCTGGAGCAGTGGGAATTTTGATGGTCTTGGCTGGCATCTTAGGAAGATATTATTGCCACATGAAGAATCCTACTTACATAATGATTGAGAACTTTTTGAAGCAACATGGACACCTTTCATCCAAAAGGTACAATTACTTGGAGGTAAAGAAAATGACCAACTCCTTCAAAAAAAAATTAGGCCAAGGAGGGTTTGGTAGTGTATACAAAGGGAGGTTACAAAATGGAAGTCTTGTGGCAGTGAAGGTTTTAAGTAAGTCAAAAGGTGATGGAGAAGAATTCATCAATGAAGTTGCTAGTATTAGCATGACTTCTCATGTTAACATTGTCAGTTTACTGGGGTTTTGCTTGGAAGGCTCCAAAAGATTTCTCATATACGAGTACTTGCCCAATGGATCCCTTGAAAAGTTCATATATGAAGAGAAAGATCCTTTAAGGTTTAAACTCACAATGAATTGCACTACAATGTACAATATTGCCATTGGTGTTGCTCGAGGACTGGAGTATTTGCACAAGGGTTGTAACACCAAAATCTTGCATTTTGACATAAAACCTCACAATATACTACTAGATGAGTTATTTTGCCCCAAAATATCAGATTTTGGACTTGCAAAACTATGTCCAAGAAAAGAAAGTGCTGTGTCAATATTTGGTGCAAGAGGAACTGCAGGGTATATTGCTCCAGAAGTATTTTCCAGAAACTTTGGTGCAGTGTCGCATAAATCAGACGTCTACAGTTATGGAATGATGGTTTTGGAAATGCTTGGTGCTAGGGAGAATAATAATCGCAGAGTTGATTTTTCAAGTGAAAATTACTTTCCACATTGGATTTACAACCATCTTGAATCACAACAAGATCTACAATTTCGATGCGCCAAAAATCGAAATGATGAAGAAATGGTGAGGAAAATGACTATTGTAAGTTTGTGGTGCATACAGACCGACCCTTCAAATCGACCTGCAATGACTAAAGTGGTGGAAATGATGGAAGGCAGCATTAGCTCTGTGCAAATTCCTCCCAAATCTTTCCTTTATTCATCTTCGGTTCCACAATCCCAATCAAGTGATTCTTCATAGTTATTGATCTACAGACCCAGCAAGATGCAATCAGTTCAACAAACTACAGCTGCAGCTTGCAGCTGCTATGAGTTTTCTGTTGCGCATTGATTGTGATGCACTCATAATTTTTAATTTTTGATTTAGCAACTCTTGATGCAGAGGTTATCATATGACACCATTAAGTGCTCATAACACTAATATATAATTGACTCAGTTGCTAAACTAGTGTATTTTTAGAGACTAGATACTAAATAAAATTTTTGTGAAATATATTCCAAGCACAAGTTTTATCTATCTTTATGTGTATTATATCTATCTTATTACGTTGACTCTATTGATATGTAATGAATGTAAGAGGAAGGATCTCTCTAGTGAAGCTTAGAAGGTTGGTAGTATCTTGATCAAGAAGGTGTTTGAAGCAAAGGAACCATGGGAGAAAAGAACATCAATGGCAGAAGCAAAAGAAACACATGGTTAGGTTTGAAACATTCAACCAATTGTAATGGAAAAACAATAACAAGTAAAGAAATGAAAGGAAGAATGGATTGAGATTAGAAAAGGGAGAAGAATACGCCACCTTTAATCCAATAATCAAAAGATAAGTGCATGAAAATTTACCATTTGATAAAGTTTCTCAAGATAAGAACCAAAACAGGAGAAAAAAACTCTTTTAACTCTCAAAATTTCTCAAAGTAGAACTTCATTCCATCTTTAATTAGTGTTTACAATTGAGAGAGACACCTATTTATAATGGAGGAGCTTGACCTAGGGGAGAAGAAGGCACACGGATTTGGAATTAACTTTGTTAATCAAATGTTAACTTCACTAAACATGATTAACACAACTAAAGCCCTTGAAATTAGGGAATGCATATGGATAGTTCCTAAAAATTACTACGTGCGAAATCAATGATAACTTGGACAAGTCAGCCTATGTGGTGCCTATGAGGAGTCCTAGTGGACACGAGAAGACTTTTGAAAGTTTGAAGGGTCAAGAAACTACTTATGAATGACATGTGGGTAGTTTACATGTTCAAAAAATACACTTCTAACATTTTAGAATTTGTCCAATGTTTTCTCAAGTGTTAGCAGTCAAGTTCTAACTTCTTTCAAGTTTCTCTAATTCTTAAGAAGTTTCTCATATGCAATTCGGGTAATCTTTTCTTTCAAAGCTTTGAGTCTTCCTCTTTTCAGCCTCATTTGGAATCTCTATTTTATTTCTTCTGCATTATTCTTATTTATCATGCTTCTTGATTGTATTCCTTTGAACTCTTCTTCTGTTTCTTCAACAAGTTGTTCTTCATCCTTATTTACATCACTCATGCAACTTTCAAATAAATAAATACTAGAAGGATAAAGTTTGTTTTTTTATTATAAATTTTAAGAAATTTACTTTTATTTACATTCATATGTAAAAGTAAGTGTAATTAGTGATTACAAATGATTAAGCCTAATAAGATAGGGAGTGTACTCATTAGTGGACAAAAAAGTATGGAAAAATTGAAGTTAACCAAAGTCTATCACGACTAAAATCACGACAAGACGGTGAATAAAAAAGGAAAATAGTTTTAAAAAAGATTTAAAATTATTACCATAGTTTATTTTTTTGAAAAACTATAAAATGCTATAAAGATAAAGCATGATCTACAAAATTTTTGAATCCGAAACTCAATCGCATAGAGAAGGTATTAGTTGTCTACGACAATGGTATTTTTAACTAAACATGTAAAATGGACGTGGTTTTCAAAATTGTTTATTTTTCCCAAAAAAAATATACGAGAAACCATTTTTTTTTTGGGATCCGACTAAGATGTAACTCACTGCCACATATTTTCATTCAAAATGAAAAATTAGTTTTCCATATAGTTCTGAAAAAAAAAAGTTATGCGAGTGTTGATTTTTAATTTTAAAATCTTTTCCTTTTTAATTTTTTGAATTATTTGAAAATAACTGTATAAATACCAAAAAAATAATATTTTTTATTTTAAATTTTTATATTTTTATATTCTTAATATTTTTACTAGTTTTAGAAATTAGAGCATGTTGTGAAAAAGTAAAAATGTGAGGTTACTAACACACGTGGTGCTGTGAGATGTGTGCAGTGAAAGTAAGAGTGAAGCCGAGTAATAAAGCCCAATTCAAAAATAAAGACAGAGGACTGCGGGTTAACAGAGCGTGGGGTGCACGGAGTAAATAAAAATAGGCCCAACATGATAAACAAACAAATAAGTAGAGGAGTAAAGAAAATAAAACTAGGGGTGCAGGAAGCTGAAACCAGTCCAGGTCCATCCACATCTTCTTCATATCCATTGAAGCTCCAGTGGCTTCGTTTCCCTCGACCACCGCCGGCGCCACCATAGAGCTCCCAACCGGAGTCATCGTAGGTGTGAGCGGAGCCACTCTCACAATGTCAGTTGAATCTTCCTTCTCCATAGAGTTGATTTTCCCTTTTCTCTCTTCTTTTGTTTCCCTTGTTCTGAAATGTGGTACTGTGTTGTGTGTTTCTCTCTGTTTTTGTTGTGCGTGCAGAGAAAATTTGGGGAAGAATAAGATGGTAGTCGAATGGAGGGATATTGGGGAGAATTGGTGCCTCTGGTGCGTGAACCCTCTGTCTCAAATGAAGCGATGAAGATGGACGATGGTGATGATTGGAGAAATCTGGAGATGGAATAAGTGGAGAAAGATGAAGGTTCTCCGTGTGCCCTGTGAGGGAGTGAGATGGAGAGAGTGGAAAAAACGTGATCGATGATGATGAAGATGGTGAAGATTGTGAGTTGTAAAAGATGGAAATGATGGTGTGTTGGTTCGTGCCTCCTACTCAATGCTAAAACCGTTTTTTGAATTTCATTTAATAGAAATAAATTTCTTTCATTGAATACCACGTCTCAAACTGTAAATGGAGAAGGTTCGTGCCTCCTTCTTAATTATTTTTTAAATTTAAAATTAAATTTTGAAAATCTCTCAAGTAACCTTATTTTATTTACCATTTTTTCAAAATCCCATTTTAGACTAGCTTCAATTTTTTATCACAATTAGGCCATTTAAGATATACAATTTGCATTTCAGACATACTTACATGTCATTTGGTTTAAAATTTTGGTACAGGTTAAATAACCATTTACTTTCCTTATAAAACAACTTTTGAATATATTCTTGAATGAGAAATTGATTTTTAGAGATTTTCTAAAGTAATTTGAAAGTGTGTGATTTTTCTTGTATAAGTCTTATCTTGAATCAATTGATTGAATGAAAATTTCATCAATACTTATCTTGAAGCTAGTGGTGGTGTGACATCTTCTTACATAAGGTTTTCTATCCTTTTTTTCTGTAGTTTCTTCTCTATGTCAACTTAAATTTACTTTTTTTTTCTATGATTTTGTTTTATGTTTTTTACTATGTGCAATTTTATCTTTTCTTCTTAGAAACAAACTTTCACACTCGAATAATCTTACAAATTCAAATCGTGCTTAGTAACAAATTTCATAAAAGATTTGGAAAGAAGTCCATTTTATTTGTACATATGGTTTAGGTGACAAACTTAACATAAGCTATTTAAAGGGACAACGAGAGAAAATAATGTCAAACTCCATAAAGAAAAATTTGCATGTAGAGGTGATATCTTCTCTAATGGTGAGAGGTTTTATGTACATCTCTATTAAGTATGTTGGACAGTTTGCCGTGATATGTTTTGCCATACATATCATTATGCATCCATTCAAGGAGAATATGAAACAACTCCTTAGAATATCCAAAAGTATCTCATATAAAAAATGAGGGGAACTTATATTTTTTCTCTCTCACCCAAGCTCTCGCAAATCCATCTGCTCCAAAACTACTTACTTGGATGTAAACACAATGTAAAAGACAAATTAATGGCTGCTCATAAAAAGAAACATACATAAAAACTTGATCTCATTAAAATGATTACAAAAGTTCAACCTTTCTAAAAAATAGTTGTAAAATTTCTAAAGAAGACAGGTTTGGAAAAAGAGATTTGGAGTCGCCACCATAGTTTATTTTGAAAAACTATGGAAAAACCATAAAATGATAAGGCCTAGTCTACGAAAACCGGATTCTGGGTTCGGGAGTCAGTTACGTGTAGGGAAGGTATTAGCATCCTACAACGCATGCCCGAAGGCAGTACCCTTAATTAAATACGCGAATGTGATGTGGTTTTCAAAATGTTTAATTATCCCCAAGAAAAACACTCTAAAGAAACAAAATATATTCTTTTATTTTTTTGGGCCCGACAAGGATTGACCTTGCTCCTACATATTCTCATTCAAAATGAGAAATCAGGGTTACGTAGTTCTTTAAAACTATTTGAGAAGTTTGTTTGGAAATTGTTTGAAGATAGAAAGAAAGGTATTTAGCACTAGGACGATGCGAACGATCAAACGAGCACTCATACCATTATTTAATTTTTTAAGATTGAAGATATTAAGTATTAAGCTGATGCGGACGATCACACGAACACCCATATCATTATTTAATTTTTTTAAGACTTGAGAGCATTGAGTGCTAGGCTGATGCAGACGATCGCACGGGCACTCATACCATTATATAATTTTTTAAGATTAAAGATATTAAGTACTAGGCTGATACGGACGATCGAACGAGTACTCAAACCTTTAAAACATTATTTTATGTTACCTTTTTATTATTTTTAAAAGAGAGAGAAAAGTATTGAACACTAGGACGATGCGAGTGATCACACGAGTGTTCAATCTTTACAACATTATTTTTGTTATTTTAAGAAGAAAAGAAGGTAATGAGTACTACGCCAATGCAGATGGTCACACGAGTACTCAAACCTTTAGAATTATATTCAAACATTTTTAATCATTTTTGAAGCGAAAGAAAAGTATTAGGCACTAGGACTATGCGAACGGTCACACGAGTACATAACCTTTTCAAAAAAATTTTTTTTGTGTTCGTTTTTTTTAATTATTTATTACTTTTTTTAACAATAAAAATATAATAATATTTAAGTAGATAAAAGTCTAAAAGTAACATATAACATGGGGTGAAGCTAATAACT